AATGCAAAAATTATCACTATGATGATTACAGACGAGATCGACAACGTTGTCAACGTGCGCGGAGGGATGCATGCCGCGCAGATAAAAGTTCTGGGGTTGTCAAGCACCGAGACACACAATTGATCCAACAAGGAGTCCGTGTTGCTCAAACTCACAAGCGATGAGCGAATCGGACGATGAACAGCGATGAGAACCCCACCTCCTCTCGAGAGGCCTAATTTGGAGTAGTCCCGATCTTTGCGATAAACGCAATACAAATTGGCGTCGAAGAATTCGCTGTCAAAAAACTCCGAATTCAGCCAGGTTTCTATCAAGACAAAAATGTCATATTCAGCATGCGAGCTCATATTGAAAAGCGAGTTAGATTTAGTCCGCAGGCCGGATACATTTGGAAAATATATTGTAAGATGCTTCATATACTTGGGATGATTCATGTGGCAATTAACTGGAATTTTTGGAAAAACCGAAAGGGTCGAATCATAACATTCGTTGGCCAAATATTCGCATTGAGCACTTTGTCATAAAAGCACTCATTAACCCCTAATTTAAAATTTACTTTCATAATTTCATCTATATTAGTGTCCTTTTTTATTAGCGGGAAGCAGTTAAGAAATTTAATATCGATTTTAGCATGTTTAGATGCATAACTGATTATGTTCTCAGCAGTAACATTATTTGAAAACGAAGACAGATGCAACCACTTCTGATTAGAAACCACATTTAATTCATTGTTGTTGTTTGAGCCAATAATTAAAGGTTTCCTGGGCTTCGAACGACTGTTTTTAGCTGTTTTCCAGCCAGAATTTTGGCTAATGGTGGCAGTATTAGTATCAGTCAGAACAGATTGTGAGGGAGCAGTAATAGAACCAAAGGAAGTGGATGTCGGAGTAGTATCAATCCATGTGTTCGCAGTAACATCTATCTGGGTGCATGACGATAGAGACGATGAACAGCTTTGAGTTGGCGCCGTCGCTGACGACATAGCTATCGCAGTAGCACCAGTACATATGTTAGCCGTAGAAGCTGCGTGAATATGAAACGAAAGAGACGAAGAAGAGCGTGGTACTGGTACAGTAGCAGACGAGGTAGCATTCATTGCGCCAATGAGAGCAGCCTTGTAGGTCGGAGTTAATCGCATAACATCATTGGTAGAAGCAGCGGCAGACACATTAACATTAGAAGTGGTAGTGAGGGCATCACTATTAGTAACATTTGCATGCGAAGCGTCAGAGACAGGAACAGGTGGAGAGGAGGCAGGGGGTGGAACATTGTTGACACCATCGCCCCCCTTTAAGGGCAGTACAATATTGTTAGGTACGTTAGCTTCACTAACAACACACTTGGATATGTTCTCGACAGCAGTAATCACACATGAACGTAGGTTAAATAGTCAACTCAGCTTTGAGTGAGGCAATCGCACCGTCTTTTTCTTGCAGAGCACACCGAACGGAAATAAGATCAGAATGCAAATTATCAATTTTCGACACTAGCTTGTTGTTTTCATCGCGCTGCGCAGTGATACAGTTGAACATTCGGTTATTGTCGGCTCGAAGAGAGACAATAATATTGTACAACGATCCCAAAGTTATTTGTTGTTCTTGGGTATTGGCTTCAATCGGAGTATTAACAGACTGTTTGACCGAGGCGGCCGATTTCAAATTAGCACTTTTTAGAGAGTCGGATTTAGCTACAATATTAGGCGAAGCACTTTCACTCTTTTCATCCAAAGCAGGTGGAGGCGGGGGAGACGAACGGAATGACCGTCGACGAATGTCCGCGCAGACTTTGCATAAAAGGCCCTTATCAGAACTGGCGAGAAATTCAGCATCAGATTGCTTTATACCAACACAAGCCAAATGAAAGAGTTCATTGCACTGAACGCACTGAATCGATTGTCGAGACCGACCAACCTTTTGGTTACATATGCAAGGCATTTTAGATTAAAGCATAAAATAATGATTTTTATGTTATCACTTATCTTGTGCTTGTTATCACAAGAGTCACTTATCAGATTTATAAAGGGTTCACATTCGCACAAATGTATCAACATTTAAGATAGAAATAGTCACTCTCACGCTAAGATTTATTTTGTAATTCGATTTGAATTGACGAGCAAAGAAAAATACGTCCGCACAGCACGACGGTTGACTTCTTTCATGGGGCATATTGTACTGAATAACAGTGGTTGGTGCTTTGTGTGCCCAAACGCTTACTATCGCGGTTGTTAAGTGGCAGCCAGGTTGCAGTTTTACAATGCCTTGGTCAACTAAAATATGTGCCGTATAAGAACTGCCGCAACTGACTTCGGCCTTTGTGTCTTCAGGGACGGAGTACAGCCAGCTGTTTGAGGATTTAAGCTGCAACCAAACTTCATGCAGAGGCATTATATTCACCACACATGATAATGGTAATTGCTTCGAATTAAAGAATAGCTCTAGTTCGCACGAATGGTCCTTTCTTACATTGTAGAGTGGTCCAATTTGGGGACACAGCGTGATTCTTCTCATTTTCTGGCAATACGAATATTTAGTTTCTGTCAGGCTACTATACATTGATTTCTCCTTATTTACTACCAGATATTCATATGCGAGTTTAAAGCTCACGAAGTAGCCGTCGTGCAGAATCGTATAACTGGTCAATGCAAATAACTGCAGCTGTTGGCTTTGTATAAGTGGTATTTGAATTCGCACTAAACAGAAGCCTTGGTTTATTGTGGTTGTGATCCGTGATATTTTTGATAGCTCAAACGGGTCGGTATCTGGCAATTGTAAGTCATCATTTCAATTTGCCGTAATTGTTGCTATTTGGGTTTGGAATCTGTCGATAGGTAAAATCCTTTTCATGAAATTTCCCTTTGAATTCCAAATCAAATCCGTAGTATCTCTTTGCAGTTGCTCTATTGACGCTATTGCAATGTTAACGCTTGCTATATAGTTTTGAAAGCCTTATATTGCTAATTAATTTTCAGCCGCTTTCTTTATTATTTGTATGGGGTCAGATATTCGGTTGAAATTATTTCGAATAACTTAATTTTGTTTCTTCAAAACCTCTTGCGTTATGTCTTCAAAGGAGGATTGATTCTGGTATAGCTTAAGCAAGTATTCTTGCTTTTTATGGGTCCTTTTTATTGTCGCCACCAATTCATCTGCGTGTTCTTCATCCATTAGACCAAACACTGAATGATACACGCTTCCAACGAATGGCAGTATAGACCTAGATGCTCTATTTCTTCCATTAAATCTCATCAGTGCATCCTTTTGGTTGACTTCTTTAATGCGATGAATGACCTGATTAACTAAGGTCTCAACTACCTTTTGAGATTCTGAGTCTCCCTTGTCCAGTAGCTTGGCGAGTTTTTGTAGAGCCGAGGGTGTTCCCATTAGAAGCTGTATTTGGTGCTGATAATCCGTCATGTTCACGTGGATGATTATTTCCCATGATGTCTTCGTCAAACCCAAACTGTCTTGCCTCTCTATTAATATCCCTGACTTGTCCCTAAATTTTTCTATAATTACTTGACAATTGTAGAGTGGTAGTACTACATCGTCATTAGAACATTTTTATTTTTATGCCTTAAATTCCTATTCTTATGGGATTCCTCATTTCTACTTATATTTCTTTCTGTTTCCGTAGGAAAAGGACAAACATTGGTTATTAATCTTTTTGTCATTCCAGTGCTGGTCCTTACGTCTACCATCCCGCATTTTCCATCTTTTCCGATGATGAGGTTCTCAACCCTGCCCCTTCTCCAAGTCATTGTTGGAAGATTTTCTTCCTTAAGGAGAACTTAACTCCCTTGGGGTAAGTTATTTTGTGGCCTTTGCCACTTGACTCTTTTCTGAAGTTCGCTTAGGTACTCCAGTGGCCAGCGCTTCCAAAATTCCTTTGAATTTCTTTCCACTTTTTTCCTTTGAATTGCTTCTCATAACCCTCCTACGTGTGGAGATCGAGCTGGTATATTCACCCAATTAATGCTGTGTACAGCACATTACGAGGAGACTTCTTTTCCGAGTTNTACGTCTACCATCCCGCATTTTCCATCTTTTCCGATGATGAGGTTCTCAACCCTGCCCCTTCTCCAAGTCATTGTTGGAAGATTTTCTTCCTTAAGGAGAACTTAACTCCCTTGGGGTAAGTTATCTTGTGGCCTTTGCCACTTGACTCTTTTCTGAAGTTCGCTTAGGTACTCCAGTGGCCAGCGCTTCCAAAATTCCTTTGAATTTCTTTCCACTTTTTTCCTTTGAATTGCTTCTCATAACCCTCCTACGTGTGGAGATCGAGCTGGTATATTCACCCAATTAATGCTGTGTACAGCACAGAACGAGGAGACTTCTTTTCCGAGTTGCTCCTTTTGAAATAATATATAAATTTCATGTAAACTATTTGCTGCCCCAATGAAATTTGTTCCGTTGTCGGAGTATATTTTTGCAGGACAACCACGTCTTCCCACAAATCTTTTTAAGGCTCCTATAAAAGCTGCTGAGCCTGATACCACTACTAAGTGTACTGCCTTTGTGCTGAAACACAAAAATACACACACATAGGCTTTATCTACTCGTTTGCCTCTTATTTTGTGGTGAATTTCTATAGGACCCAAGAAATCAACCCTAGCATTCAAGAAGGGCTTGGTGCATCTTACTCTATCCGCAGGTAAATTACCCATGATTTGAAAAAGGGGACGAGGATTTGCCCTGAAGCATCTATAGCAATTGTTAACAATTCTTTTTGTGAGTTACCTGCCCCTTAAAAGCCAAAACGTCAGCCTAAATATTGCGAGAAGGCCTTCCGTTCCTATATGTAAATGTTTTTGATGGATTCCCTCCACCAAAATTTTAACTAAAGTGTCTGTTTGGTTCCGCCGCCACTGTCGTCAGCACAACAAGCGAAAGCAGCGCAGTCTAGTTAAACTCTATGCAATAATCTCTTCTAAGTTCATGCATATTTACATATTTACATATATACATTGTAAATTGCTTTGCGAAGCAATGATAAAGAAAATTCGGTAGTTAGTTGCAGACATATGTACATATACACACTCATACAAGTTAATGACATTTATTGCAATTGCCTTTTGCTAAAGGCTCTCATTAATTTCATCTATCATTTTTAAGTTAGTTCGTTGTCAATCGCTAATCGTGAAGCACGGGTTATTCGAACCCGCCTGCTTCTGCAAATAAAGTACATAAAATTGTATTTGTTTTTGGACGACGAGCGTTTTTATTTATTTATTGCGTCGAAATTAGCCAACGAAAAAGCTCGAAGGCTACACATTTTTTGGTGACCCCGACGTGATTGCTATTGTCTTATCGAAATAAGAGGAAAAATAGCAATTGCCATATATAGCAGTAAACGTTTTTTCTACCGGCTGACTGCGCAGTATATATGTATGTAGGTACACACTTACATTCGGTGAAGCGGTAAATATATATTGGAATATTACTGGAGTACATACATAAGTTAGCTGAAAAACGAACCTATAGTTGCGTCTGCTGGTATCCAAATTTATTGGCACCCAAATACATACGGGAATAAAGCGGTAAATTCGTGCCGTTGCAAAATCACACAATATTTTGGAAAAAATAAAACTGGATATCATACATTTTTGTTTTCTCGGCAAGTTGGTCAGTTTTTCAACATTGCATCATGACAGAAGATGGGCAGTCTAGTCCACCACTTGCGGATAAGAAAATTTTTTACAAGCGCAAGGCACAATCAATTTATGTGCAGGCGCAAAATATTGAACAGACGATCGAAGGGGAGAAAATCAATTTGCTTAACGAATCGGATTTAAGCGTAAGGCTGGAGTGCCTGGACCATATTGCCGCTACGTTTAATTCAATTTATGACAAACTCGAGGAGCTTGATTTTGATGAAATTGGTGGGGAACTGCGCTCAAACTTCGAGGATTTGCTCATTTCAGTACGGTCTCGTATACGGCATGAGATTCGAAAGCGTTCATCTCAAATGCCACCTTGTTCAACCATGCGATATGAGCATACACCTGAAGGTCAAACGATCATAATGCAAAGTCGACCACGGTTACCTGAATTAAAGTTGCCTACATTTAGTGGTGTATACACGGAATACACCGACTTCATTTCAATGTTTACAACAATCATCGATAAAGATCCTGATCTCACTGATGTCGAGAAAATGCAGCATTTGCGAACGTCGCTGAAAGGTGCTGCATTGGATACCATCCGTTCGTTGGAGATCAGTGATTTAAACTATAATATTGCTTTGGAGTTGCTCCAGAAACGTTTTAATAATAAGCGTCTTATTTTTCAGGCACACATCACTGAGATTCTGGGGTTGAAAAGGGTTGAAGCATCTTCAGCAGTAAAATTACGTGAGCTATCAGATAAAGTTAACGCTAACTTACGAGCATTGCTAACTATTGGAGACTCGGAGCAAGTAGCAGCCGGCATAATCATACATACGCTACTTGAAAAGGTGGATGGTGCAACTCAGACTAAGTGGGAAGAAACCGCGCCCTTAGATGTCATACCATCATGTGAACAATTTACTACTTTTCTGGAAAAACGATGCCAAAAGTTGGAAAACGTCGAGCACTCCGTTGCAGCAAGTACTCGTATATCTCAGGTGGGCAAGAATAGTAGAAACACTAACTCCAGTAGAAAATCTTTTATATCCACTAACACATCAAATGGCTGTGTTCTCTGCGACACCACAGACCATTCCATATATAGCTGCAGTAGATTTAATAATTTATCGCCACAACTACGTCTTAAAGAAGCCAAGCGGCTGTCATTATGCATTAATTGCCTTCGAAGAGGCCACCAGTTGAGAGCGTGCGCTGCCGGTTCATGTCGTTCATGCGGCGGTAAACATCATAGCTCATTGCATTTGGACCATGCCAATAGCCGGGGCATAATAAATGAACAACAAAACCCTCCATTGTCATCGCAATCTACTCCGCAACATCCACATCGCTCTCTCACTGTTGTTTCCCCTTCTGTCATTGATTCTTCGGGTGCCCCGAATCTCAATTGTGATGTTGTGCTCCTCGCTACTGCGGTTGTTGACGTCAAGAATAGTGCTGGTACATGGGTACCCTGTCGTGCGTTGCTCGATTCCGGATCGCAATTGCACATAATCACATCTCGACTTGCTCAGCAATTACAACTGCGCAAAACTAAATCATTTGCAGCTGTATCTGGTCTTGGCGACTCCGAGTTCCAGTCTGATGGTTTTACTGTCAACATAAATCTTCGTTCTCAAACTTCTGAATACACTACTTTCATTTCTGCTTTAGTAGCCCCCAACATAACAGACAATCAACCTAACTTCAGTCTAAACATAGCATCGTGGAACATTCCCTCCAACATTCGTCTAGCAGATAAAGACTTTCACAAATCCCAACGCGTTGATATGCTTATAGGTGCAAGTCTTTTCTATGATCTTTTGTGTGTTGGGCAGATCAAGTTGGCTTCTGGTCTGCCGCTACTTCAAAAAACCAGATTAGGATGGGTGGTCACAGGTGGCGACTCTAAGCCCAGAACAGCAAGGGTTCTAAACGCGGTATCCTCAACGAAACCATCCACTCAGCTTGATCAGTTGGTGCGTCGCTTTTGGGAGCTTGAAAGCTGCGCTTCCTCTGTAGTCAAATATACCAAGGAAGAGATTGATTGTGAATCCCACTTCAAGGCTAACTTTACTCGATTATCAACTGGGGACTATTCGGTTCGATTGCCTATTAAACCCAATATATGTATGCTAGGTGAGTCATATCCGCAAGCATTGCGTCGATTCCTAAATCTAGAGCGTAAATTAGATCGCCAACGTGAACTAAAGCAAAATTACGCTGCGTTTATGCAAGAATACTTAGACTTGGGGCATATGTCTTTAGTTAGTGAAGAAAATCGTCATCTTTGCAAATATTTTTTACCCCATCACTGCGTAATGAAGGAAGACAGCACCACCACAAAATTACGGGTTGTATTTGACGGCTCTGCAGCTTCGTCCACCGGGTACTCCCTCAACGATGTACTTATGACTGGCCCTACCATACAACCCAAACTCTATAACATACTGTTGCGTTTTAGAACATTTTCTGTTGCCTTAACTGGTGATATTTGCAAAATGTACAGATGTGTACGAGTCTCGGAGGATGACTCCTACTTGCAGTGCGTATTGTGGCGCGATACTTCACAACATGAAGTTCAAGTTTTTAAACTTGGTACAGTAACTTATGGTACTCGACCGGCTGCATTTTTATCAGTGCGAGCAATGCATCAATTAGCCTCTGACGAGCAGAAGCTGTTTCCTGTTGGAGCTGAAATTTTGCGGCGAGACTTTTATGTCGACGATCTTATTGCAGGTGGGGATTCTGTCCAAGAAGTCAGAGAGATCATGAATCAAATTACTAATATGTTGGCGAAGGGTTGTTTTAAATTGCGGAAATGGTGCACTAATAATGTGGATCTGCTTCAAGGTATACCAAGCGAAGATACCGAACCTCTCTTGAGCTTCGATGATGGAAGCAATGTCACTAAGACGCTTGGTCTTACTTGGGACCCAGCCTCTGATAGCCTACTTTTCGTATTTACACCCACAGCCACAGCAAAGAGGAATTGCAAAAGATCGATTTTATCAATAATTGCTCGTTTTTACGACCCATTGGGGCTTATTGGTCCAAACTCTTACAATACCGAAGCTAGAGCTTTGTGGAGCAGCACTGTTGGCACAACTCATTCATGAGGTCGCTGAAATGAACATTTTTGAATGCCCGTTTTTTTGTTGGTCGGATTCCGCAGTTGCACTAGCATGGATCCGCGACGAGCCATCTCGGTTTCAAATCTTTGCTTCAAATCGCATAGCAGCAATACAAGAGTTGACGGCAGGCATGGAGTGAAATTATGTGCCAACCAAGTTAAATCCAGCTGACATTCTCTCTAGGGGCGCATCTCCCAGTGAGCTCATCGAATCTTCAATTTGGATTCGCGGTCCTGAATTTTTAGTTGAAGGTCGAAGCAAATGGCCATTGACTTGTAGTGTAGTGAAAGATCTCCCCGAGCTTCGCAAGAAGGTCCTACTGATAGTCCCTCAATGCGCTGACATGACACTTCGTTGCAAATATGTCAACTCGTTCGCAAAACTACAGCACGTTTTCGGCTATATCTACAAATTCATGCATAGGATCCGACATAACGGATTAACAGTTGATCATATTCAACAGGGAACAAAATTGCTTTTACGAACAATTCAAATGGCTAATATTTCGGATGACTACAATGCCTTGAAAAGTTGTGAACGGGTAAAGCCAAACAGCTGCATTTCATCTCTATCTCCATTTATTGACGACGAAGCATTAGTACGTGTAGGTGGACGACTCAAAAACTCAGCTTTGGACTTCGATGGTCAACTT